CCCCCCTTCCTCCGACCCTGACCCACTTAGCTGGCTGCTTGTTATTCAAACCATTGCTTTACCCACACAAACACGCACACACAAGCAGCAGAGATGAGAGAGTGAGAGACAGAGGCATGGAGGGAGAGAGGGGGGGGGGTAATTTAGTTGGACTACAAACCTAGCTATCTAGAAGCAGCAATACTCTGGATTCTATGTTTTCTGGAACTAACGATCATTTACATCATTGATAAATCTGCTTCCTTTTTCCTTCAAATAATCAATTTATCATTGAGTCAATGAAATGTTGAAAAAAATATCCACTCTACTGTCGTACATGACAAAGAAAAGCAGCACACCTTCTCATCAGAGAAGCTGACACCTTCTGATTCATTCATCAAGCCGGTGATTAATGGACTCATTGCAGCTCTAATAGTTGTATCTTACAAACCTCGATAAATGTCTGTTTGAGAACCTTTTCAAGGAAGAGCCCAACATAGGGATGACCTCAGACTGAGGTGCTGCCACAGCTGTGACCTACTGAACCCTGATTTATTTTTAAAGTGGAAAATGAACTTACGTGTACACGATGCCTCAGCACCATCTGTGACTTAGATGAACTTATGACTCTGTGATGGACGTTATGGCAGCTTTACATGGTTGTAAAATAGTAAATATTACAAAGACATTTTTTACACAAAGTACCTCATCTGTTGAACAAATGCCAGCCGAAGAAGATCACAGGACATAAAACAGGCCATCACATTACACATGTTCATGATTGAGGGATTGTTTCTTTGTAATAGTGTGTGCATTATGCTGTATGTAGAGTACAGACTCCTGTAGCTTTTTTGTTTTACTATTTAACAGAACAACATCTGTGAGTGTGTAAATTGGATTAAAATAAATCTCTACTGCCAAAGTGTAGGGAAAATTCAATTCTAATGATCCATACAATGCTCAAGTTGAATCATTTTTCTGTGTTCTACTTATTTAGACACTGATGGATACAAGAGCGCTGTGGCAAGTCAAACTTTGTGACTGTGGACCAGGGCTGCATCGAACGATTATTTTGAGCATTGATTAATCCGCCAATTATTTTCTTGATTCGTCGATTAGTTGTTTTGAAATGTCTGAAAACAGTGAAAAACTCTACTATACTCTCCCACAGCTCAAGAATGTGAGTTATGATAATAATGATAATAAGCTGCATGCCTCACTGCGTGGAAGTGACTTAAAACCGTGTTAATGCAACAATGAATTGGTAAAAAAAATTTACCAGGAATTTGAATTCCAGTATATAATGTATAAAGGATATAAATATAGAACTAAATTATATAGATCGGCCTCGTTATCAGCAATACCTGATCCAGCTATTTGATTAAGTATCGGTGCATTACTAGTTGAAACTGGGAAATTTCCTCCCAAATGCAACAGGACAGTTGAGTTTTGAACATGAAGCTTTCGCCACTAACAGCCACTGAGATCTGTCTACAGAGCCTCTGTGTCTGTCTGTCCCCCCAGGACTGATGGAGAGCATGCTGGGTACCACTCTGCCTCTCACACTGAAAACCATCACTCTTTCCCCCTTATGGGTTTTCTCTGTCCTCTGTCCCTCTTTCTCTTATTAAGGATTTTGTGTCACACGGGACATGAACAACAGTCTCAGGGGTGAAAGTCCTGTGTTTGCTCAACCCACCCATCAACACCAACCTCCTCCATACACCGACTTATACTGACTTTGATTAGAAACATATTTGTGATACGTCAAAAAAGATATTCTTCCCCTCGAAACGTTGTTGACAATGTAGTTTTTCAGGAGACCTGCGTATTTGGCCAGATGTATCAATGTCTAAGTGGTTCTCAAAAAGAAGCGTGTGTGTGACCTTTGCTTGTTGCTGATGCTGAGAATGAAACCTCAGAGCTGGACTTGATCTATCATCTACAGTCTTGGGGCATCAACAGCAGGCTGACGTTAGAGCGTAGACTGAAGCAGGTCATGGTGGTCTAGATAAGGGTCTGGGCAGGTGGTCACACTGGCTGTGCTCCATCAGGCTGTGTTGGTGTGGGGGTGCTGTTACATAGCAGCATGCAGCACATGAGGGGGCAGGTATGATGTCCGAATCCCTCAGCTGATCTCCAAACAGAGGCAAGTAGTGTGAAGGCACCGCTTAACCTGACGATTGGTCGCGATGAGGTGCATCAGGTATTAGGGTGGAACTAGTTCAAGCAGGGGACCTTATATACATGTGGCACTGCTGTCTCTTAGCAGGGATCCACACTAACCTTTAATTGGCCAAGAACTAACTACTACTTATTACTGATTGAATCACTCATTTCTCAAAATTGTTGCCAGTCGTTATAGTTTTATTGCTGAAGATTTCAGTCCCGGTTGATACGATGGTTACCGTGGTAACGGCAAGTGCGGTTTCATATTACAGGTCCCAGAATTCCAGAGGCGCCGACTCACATTGTTTTAATAAAGAAGTCGGGCAGTAACTGGCATTTTTCCATCTGGCCATGAGCAGCCACGATGTGATTTCATGCTGCACACGATGTCGCTCATCTCGCTGAGGACTTCAGCTGTTGAATGAAAAATGTAACGTGGAGCAGCAGTAGCAGTGATCACAGAATGTAAAATGGAGACCATAAATAGTATCAAAGACGGGCTTCGATTCACTGAAAATATTAGGTGGCAGAGCTAGTTCAATACATTTATAATGAGAAGCCACGAGAGAGATGTTAAAAGATCCTCTTTCAGTTGAGAACACATGTTACACACTGCCTTTCTATACTTGATAGTTATTGTATTATTATTAGATTTGATTATGGTGTCTTATTCTTTCTGAAGGGTTTTGTGACATTGTTACATTGCTTATTGTGTGCGTCTGTTTGTCTGTGCCAGTGTGTGTGTGTGTGTGTGTGTGTGTGTGTCTGTTCCATGTGGGATATCAGGTCTTGTCAAAAGGTAAATGGAAGAAGCCACTTTGACTGTGAGGTCAGGTCAGCATGTCTGCTCTTCTCTTCCTCTCCTCTAATTGGTCAGAAAAACTTTAATGGCTCCCATAAGAGGAAGACTGAAGATCAGCCATAGAGACAGAGAGGAGCAACTCTTATCCTCTGCTCCACCATTCCTGTTACTGCTCTGATTATCTGATATGTGTATGTAAAGCATTAATAACTGATAATTCCATAAACCACACTATATGTGTGTGTGTGTGTGTGTGTGTGTGTGTGTGTGTGGTGTGTGTGTGTTATGTCCGTCACAATACCGTGTTAGCTTTCTGTTGACTCTGTAAACCTATACCTCATTTGCATAGTACCCAACAGCTGGCGAACGGATAGGGCAGTTACACCTGTCTTTCCACCTGTCCACCTGTGTTTGTATTTGTGTGTGTGTGGGTGCGTGTGCACTTTGCTTCCACCCACCTGTTCAAACGTGCTTCTGTCAACCAAGACAATGAGTATGTACCCATGAATCATTTGAATATGGTTGTTGTTTTGCTGGTGTTTTTGCACTTCCTGTTCCCTTGTCTTGAAGTCAATGGGTTTTTTGACTGTGTTTTTAGTTGGATGTCTGAAATGAGTTCTGTGGTTAAAACCAGCTGAAGAGATTTTAACGTTTTATATTATGATATAAAATACACCAGTGAAAGTCCTTTGGGTGAATTTTGTAACTTTCAAGTGTCTTAAAAAAGCTAACAAGTGGCTAAATAAAACTACAAAATTCCTCACTAGAACACTAGTCCGCCTTTAGCTTAGTAATGGTGAAGTCATGTGGGGACTTCCTGCTAACAGCCCCATTGCCCATCGATCTTACGCACGCTCTTACATTTCTACAAAGCAACACCTAACATCCCTGAGACTAGCTGGAAAATAGGCACAACCAGGGCTAATTTGAACTATTTCACAAGTTGCCAAACAACGTAATCTCTGTCCACAGGCACCTAATATTTTGTGAAATTAAGATACTATGCAGTTATACATCAGCTTAATAATGAAAATCTATCGTAAAAGAATAAAAGCTTTATTGATGATGATGATGGCAACCAAAGGCCAAGAAACAAGCAACCCTTACTGCCGAGCACTGCAGTACACAGTAATGTAACAGTGGACAAAAAGTAAGCTTTATCATATCAGAAGGACACAACACTGACTGCTTTTAGTCACCTAAAGTGAATATGGGGTGGTGATATCAGTAGCTGTCTAGTGGGTTCCTCTGACATGCACTGCTGTCTGTAGTGTAGGACAAATACAAGCTCGTGGATGAAGGAGGAGAGGGAGGAAGAGTAGGGCAGATAAGAGATGGGAAATGAGGAAATAACAGCCCATACAGCATGCTAATAGGATTCATTGTGTGCCATGTCAAATATACAGTTGATGCTGATAGTATACAAGACAGCTAAATGATTGACACGTACACTGATGGATGACACTTTCCCACTGCACACTCAAAACCTGCTTACATTTTCAGCATGCATTACATTTTGTAAACAGATATAAATTGGTAGTTTACTGTATTTCTACATTAGCCGGTGTATTGATCGACCACTGTGAAGAGTCGAGAGTTATTCGGTTGCCTGTCATCCCATGTGGACAAGGTGAGGCTGCGAGCTTCTCTCTCTGATGTCAGTGATGTCATTATCCTGTTTCTTTTGTTTTTTGGGGGGGTCTCATTTATTAATGGTCCCCTATCAAAACTTGTCCTACTCAAAAGTGTGAAAGGGGAAAAAACACACCAATGCGTGACTATAAGCACGTATTTATCCTGACATCTGAGCTTCTATAGATTACGGATATCATCAATATATCCGTGCACAAGACTGATCTTTACTGGAAAACAGGGACGAGAGATTTACCAGCCGCCACAAGCAGGGTTTTCACCGTCTGAAGGAGATGGCACACCGTACTCTGTTACCTCCATCTCCACTTATTGTCTCCTTGCTGGCTGCTTGTCTGCTCGCTGTGTTTCATTCTAGTTTATTGACATTGTTGCTCTTGTGTTTTTTTGTTCTCTCCAGCTGGACGGGGACAACATGTTCCTGGGTATGCCAGAGCAAGGCCTTGACTATGCCTCAACCAATCAGGTTTGTGTTTACGTGTATATGTGTGTGTGTGTGTGTGTGTGTGTGTGTGTGTGTGTGTGTGTGTGTGTGTGTGTGTGTAAGAGACACACGGTGAGTGTCCTAAGAAGCCGGTCTTTTCTCCTCGTTTGTAATTGCACTGAGCGATTTTCTAAAGGGAACTAATTGCTTGGGAAAGTTCTGTATATTGTTATAACACTTTGTCAAAAGTGTAACAATCATTTGCAAACTTAAACAAATGTATGCCAGGTGTGCAATTAAGTGAATATTCATTTAATTATCAAGCAGTCATCACGCATGTCAAATCCATTTTTCACACTTGCATGGTTTTATAAGGAAATTACTTTAATATTGTCCCTTTGCTGATATGGTTAAAGGAAGATATTTCTGAATGGATGTGTTGCTGTTTAGTCCCTGCAGGGTGAGTCCATTGGCGGTTAGGGGTTTTCCAATACCTGTTAGCATTGAGCTATTAATTATTCCAGGACACTGAAATACAAACAGTGATACAATGTGATCTCTGAGGCCTCAATGCACTTCTTTCTATCGTTATTCTACTATCACAGGCCCGAGTTCTGATGAAGAGTCCTTAAACAGCACTCTGAACCCCGTTTCTCTTGCTCCTGTCACATTTGACTCTCTGTGCCCTCGTTTTTCACTGCAGTATAAAAGTAATTTACCTCTATAGGAATGGACCAATGATGGCTAGAAGTAGAGAGAACTCCAACGTTTATTTTGTGCAATAGAACACAGGTATAATACCATAAATCATAAAAAAAAGAAGAAACGCAAGTTGAATTTCTTTACTGATTTTTAGGAATTAGGAAAAAAATGGATCTTGTATAAACAACATTTTTTGGTGTTACAAATATCGGAAACAAAATGGAGGCTCCACGTGCTCTACATATGGAACTATTTACATTTCTTCAGCCTCCCTTGTCTTCTCCTCCCTGCTCTGTGTTCAGCAGTTCAGACATTTCACAGAGTTTTTGTCACGTGACTTGGTCTCAGCCAAGTCAATCATAGCTTCCCAGATACGCGGAGGAGCACAGAATTGAATGTTTTGTACAGAATCTGGTGAGACCAAACGCTTTATTTCTGGCTCAAATGTAAATGAGACATGTAGAATACAGTGATTTTGATGAACTAGCACTATTTTAAGCTTCAGATTTGGTTATTCTTCCTGATGGAAGCATTCGTCTCACATGATTTGTTCATGGACCATTGGAAATTTGAATAAACGATAATACAGATTCTGTCTATGATGAATGATGTCGTTTTAGCAATTAAAAAAAAAAAGAGACCATGTCTTTGAAACCCGCCGGCAGAATATTAGTAGACGGGAGAGAAAACACGCTGCCATTATGGCCATGTTGAGATTAAGTTACAGCGCAGTGCATTAATGATATTATTTTACAGACGATGTTTATTGATGCTGTCTTCATGACCCGCTGTGTCTTTGAGCTCACCTTTAGCTATTTCAGTCTTCACTTATTTCCAGTTGCGTCAAACCAACTTTTCCTCCCATCCTGTTCCACAAATCAATATCACTTACTGCTCTCGACTCTCTACACACAGACTGGAGCACTGTGTGGGGTTATTGAGTGCCGCAGACGTTTCTTATGAAAAGCAATTTGGGATGTTTGAATTAGAATAAGTTTGTTTTATGAAACTGTTAATATGTTTACATGAAATTTACCATTATTTGCCTTAAAACCAATAATAATCAAGTAATCAAATAATCAAGTGCAGAATTATACAATAATTGAATCTTTTCACTTATACTTTTAGTTTTAGTTTCTTGAACTGTTTCTTTTTGATAAAGGTTTGACAAAAAGAAGATCTGAATTTGATAAACAACTTTTATTATTCATAACTATGTGGTGTTTTTGTATTATTATTTATTGTTTTTATTATGTTCTGAACCCTAATCCTGTCAGTCCGAAATGATGCTCATGAGTCTGTGAACAAAGCTCAGTGAAATGCATCCAAGAAGCTCTCAAGACGGATTGAAATCCGAGACACATTCCAGCCAGATGTTGAAAACGTGTAAATGCATCCGTCTCTCCTCCGAGTCCTCTCAGAGTGTACCTATGTCGGTACGCGGTCTGTGGAATAGTCCACTCACCCACTGATCTACGGTCTGTCTCCTCTGTCTTCATGTTCACATAGCTAAAGTTACACTGAAATGATTATCTGATCCCTGATCAGCTCAAACATGGAATCAGTGAGACACACTACAGCTTTAATTCTGTCTCTTAAATGTAAACGACAGCAAAGTTCACAGAAAGAAAGTCTCTTCTCTTCCACTGTTTATTGCCCAAACTCATAAAACTGGGCTATTCAGTTGGAAATGTGGACGACATTTCTCAGCAGCCAATTAAAAGCCCTATTAAACATTAAACATTTGAAACAAATGCAAATCCATGTTAAGAAATGCAATTTGTACTCTTTCAATTTTGAAATACAAAATATATATTTTCACATCACAAAGTGCAGAAACAGGATCAAAAGTAGCTATGGATGCACAGAGACATAACCGGGGGCAATAGAGCGCCGCAGCGATGACGTATTTGTGGAGCTAACAGGAAGTTAGCATCGAACTGGTTCCCTCGACAAACAGCCGAGGGAAAATAAACTCCATGGCAAACACACCTTTATGATACGCATACGGTTTGTTCAGCAAGATAATCTTCACTGACTTCAAGACGAGGGAACAGGAAGTGCAACAAATGCTGACTCATTTCTAGGTTTTGGGACTCATTCCTGCAGCCCTTCATTGTTATCTTTTGTGACATATCTGACCCCGGCAAATCACAAAGTTCACAAACAAAATAAAACCATAACAAGTGACAATAACAGTAACCAGCAACACACACTCTCTCTCTCTACCAGTGTCTCTCTCTTCCCCCTCCCCTCGCCAACACACACACAGCAGAGCCCTTCAGATAGATAGTTTATTAACTAACTTCCCCTCTGTAGCCTATCATGGGCCACCAATAGAATAGACCCGTCGTGTGCCACTGAGCTGGGCTTCTGAACAGACTTCATCCTCATGCCTTTATTTCCACCAAGAAAAATGTACAGAAACTGATAAGAACAGAGAACTTTTGCTGAGACACATCATTAGTATATATGTTAAATGGTATTCAAAATTGTAGGATTCATACATTTATTTATAATTACATATTTATTTCCATATATATATATATATATATATATATATATATATATATATATATATTTTTAAATTCTAGAAACTGTTCTGAATGTCACAAATTAGTGCTGATTAAGGCTCCAGCCCCTCGAGATGCTAAACAGGATAAGACGTGTAGAGAATGGATACACGGGTGGAAATTTCCACCAGAGAACATTGCGTCCATTGCATTGAGTGAGCGATCAAGGTTTATGGTGTATGTACAGCTGTCGCGTTACGTCACCTCAGCGCGATGACCAAGGTATTAAAGATCAGCTGTTTTTAGATTCCTAAGCAACGGTCCCGGAACAGCGCTATGCAGCAAACAGAGTGTTTTATACGGCTGTGGGTGTAACTGCTTTCACTGTGGAAACCTCTAGAGATGTGTTTGTTAGTGCAGAATTACCTCACCGCCCAGCAAAGCCCATATTAATAAGAAAGACCATCAGAGATGCATTATTCATGGAGTACAGTGTAGAGAATAGTGTGTGGTATAGGCATCCATGTTTTGATGTTTTATTCATATTGCTGTGCCATAAGGAGACCGGGAGCGGTGTGAGGAATAAGAATTTATGGCTGAGTTATAGAAGTACCGTTGCTTCCATAAAGTCAGAGGTTGTTGTGATGAATGTGACCAATTTGAGTCCAGTGTGACCCTTCACTCTTGTCATTTCTTTTGAATTGTTAATGGAGCAGCAGTGTGTGATGTTACTGATCTCACCCTGAAGCACAAAGACAGCGGCTCGATGAAACGCTGGGCCTCATGCAGGATCCTGTTAGTACCCACTGAAGCCTTGGATTCACTCGTGTGTTCTTATTTTTATGTCTCCTCTTAGGTAAGAAGCTTTTTATGAGGGCAGTTTTACATAATAAGAAAAAAAAACATCTTGTTTTTCAAAGTCCACAAATTGTTTGTCCAGTGCAAGGAAACAAGTTTAAAATTTGAGGGACATGAAAAAAAAAACACATGAATATCTGATCAAATGTATGTTATTGTATGTTTACAGTAATTCTAATGATTGGATTATTAAAGAGATACTACCTTTGAACTCACTAAGACTATAAAAAGCCTTGGGTGGTATTGGGTGCGTTTAGCTTACAAACCACTAGATGCTTTTTGATTTGTACACCAGTACTGACACTCACATGTTTACCGCTGAAGTTCTTCTTTTCCAGCCTCTTTTGTTTTTGCTGCCATCCCTCAGTATCAGTATTTGCACACGGCTCAACACCTGCCCTTGTGTAGTGTTTAGGAGCCGATTTGGATGGTTCAGAACGTTTGGTGCGTCTGGAGTTGACTTCTCTTATCAGAAAGTTAAGAGAAATTTAAGAGAACGTTGCTGCATGAGGCCAATCGTCTTATTTAGTCACTAATATACAAACTAAATATATTTGTTTAATCCGTACAAAGAACAATGCAAAACAAGCATCTTGGATGTTATAGGGAGTGACGAGCTGGACCGTTTGTTGGCCTGCTGCAGTGACTTCCTGGAGCCTCCGCTGGATGCCTGAAACACAACCCTGATACCAGTCTTTATGCTAAGCTAAGCTAACCAGCAACTGGCTCCAGGTTCATATGTAATGGGTAGATATGAGAGTAGTATTGATCTATTCATCTGATTCCCGGCACAAAAGCAAATACGCGTATTTCCCAAATATTGAACATTTCCTTTAATCAATATCGAGCCTGCTCATCTTAACAGAGCTGCTCACTGGTTGTGGTTGTAGTGGGAGGCTGTATGGATATTAATACGTTCAAAAAGAAAAGAGTGAACGACACTAAAGTAAAATATGAACTAACTAGCCTGTTGTGCCAGTGTTGTTATGTGCTCCCGCTGTTTCTGTTTGTCTTTCTTCCTTCATTGCAGCTGTATCTTCATGTAACCTTCTCTTATCAGGGATTAGCTGTGGAGGGAATGAACAAGCAATTTATTTACAGCCTGTCCCTCTTATCTCGTTCCTTCTCTAAATAGCTCTCCGACTCTCTCTCTTTCTTTCAGTCAACTCCGTTCAGTTAGTTGGTGTTTAAGAAAAAGCAATATCGGCCAACAATAAAGATAAAATATCATTTTGACCCGTGTGTGTGTGTGTGTGTGTGTGTGTGTGTGTATGTGTGTGTGTGTGTGAGCGAGCGAGGGCTTGTGTAGAATCTCTCTCGCTCTGTCCTTGTTCTGCTCAGTGACCTTTTCATTTGACCTTTGACCCTTCCCTGGCCCCTGCATCCATTTGAACCGTTGTTTGTCTCTGTTGTTCTTCCCACAGTTCCGTGTGCCACAGCCCCCTCACCCTCTCAGCAAGGTGACGCCACCCAACCAGCCCTCCCAGCACTGGAGGAGGGACACACACATGGCCGACTCACATCGTCTGCCCTGGGTAAATGCACACACACACTTTTATAACACTGAAACTCACACATAAACACGGAGTTTAAATGGGCAAACAACTGTGGCAAATACAGCAACAGTGTTGTTTATGTATTTATGCAGTTCTAGTGTGACCTGCAGCACCTGATACACAGGTAAGGAACATATCTGTAGCAGCAGTTTAGACATGTCGTTGTTTACATCCTAAACCTCTATTGAGGGTTTTGTACGTCTGTCGTGATATTTTATAACATCATCAACCTAATAAAAGGGGGGAAAAAGGTTTTTATAAATGTAACTTATGGTGCTGTTAGATTGCTGCTCGACCACTCCGTTAATACACGCGTGTGTGCAGCAAGCGGGAGAGCCAACGGTTGACCACAGTGAAAACACAGAACTTCTGCACAGTTGTCGATAAAGATCAGGCTACGCTAAACCCTGTAGTGGCAACGTAGGATTGATTCTGACTTGCAATACTCCATAATAGTTGTGAAGTCCGAATTTAATGAAAAAAGATTGATTTAATCATTTTCAAAATCCACAACGTGTTTTTATCTCACGCAATATTCTGCTTCAATCCATATTTGCTTGTGTTTAGCCTTTCTTAACTTAATGAGAGATGACACTCTTAAATTCATGTTACGCCCTAAACACACCTGTTATTAATAAGGAGACTAAATAAGTCTCTTTTGCCTTACTTTGCGTCCAGATTATGTGCTGTTTAATTAGCAAAAGTGGAGTTGTACATGCCCTAAATGTGCTATCGGCATGCGGTTTAGACCACGCGCAATAGATAGTTTAAATAGGGCCCTGTGTATGTTTATGTGGTGTTACTTTGCTCTCCTGTTGGTGGGACAAGCTGACGTTTATAGAACTTGTTTGATAATGACTGAACAGTTCCTCTAGTGGAGTATCTGTAGTCTGCACAGAACCTACGTTAACACCCTCTGACGACAAAATTGACATCACCCCCGCGAAAGTATAACTTTGGCTTTACAAGTCAGTTCCATGACCACTACATGAACATCTCAAAAAGGTGTGCGGCTTTTGCAAAAGAGCCATTTTACTCGTCTGGTTTTGTGGTTGTGCCATGAAGTTTTTACAGGACCTATGATTTGTAACTGTGATTTGTGTAGGGCACATTTGACCTGGTATGAGCAGCACAAATCAGTTATGATTCATATGAAATATGTGCTGTGCTGCTCAATCATTACATCCTCAGCTCTCATATATGTGCATTGTGATGCCTATTACAGTAAAATAGTTTTTATGTTCCTTAAACATGGCCCCCGACATATCCATGGATTATTATCCCGTGTGAGTGGGGCCACCAAAATAGTTGGAGGAAATCCCCCCCAGCTCTCACCCACACGCAACATACACTCACACATGTATCTTACACATTCTTTTTACGTTACTGAGCGAACAAACAATAAAAAAATCATCATTCATCAAACTCATACTGTACCTTCTGTGTGAGTGTGTCTGTCTGTCTGTTAGGCTAATCAGCATTTAGAATGCATTCAAAGTTTACTATGATGTAATTCTGAGACAATCAGCGAGAATATGGGCTATTTCTATATAGTTATTCTTAATACTTGTCATCGGGTCTAATTCCGTACAAACATCAGACGAAACGGGTTCATCAGAAACTCCTTCAGCTCAGACACCAGCAGGGTTCCCAGCAGCCACATTACCACCGAGGACGGACTCACATCTGGCTTCTCTGCAGCCTTCGACCTGTCATTCACCTGCTGCAGTAAAATGAGAGGTTTCTAAAGGGACGCTGGTGTTTGGAAACACTACCACTTTTGTCCACAGGGACTGCCAGAATCACCACAGAATGAATCTCCTGCTTCCCAGAAGAGGGACCATAATGGTGAAGAGATAGGGAAGACTTAGGTAATCATTGCAGCTGTTTAAGTACACAGACGTTACTCTTCAAGACGATATTCAAATCATCAGATCCACAACTACTGTATGTGACACAATATAACACACAAATGAAAGAGCATACAGCAGTTTGCAGCAAATTGGCCCAGATTTCTCAAATCTCTCTTTTTAAAGATGCATTTAAAACAATATATGAATTTGTGCAGAGCATTTAAATATACCAGCTATCCTGATAAGTTAATATTTAGAGATTGATATGCACATTTTGTACATAAATAGTCCCTGAAAATGCAGAAGTTAAAATACATTTTCATTTTAGACTATTCTAATCCAATCTAATTTAACGACTATTAATGCCCCTCCTAGAGACATTAGATCACCATTCTATAGAAACTAATGTTGATGGTCACACGTTACTCATGTCCAACAGACATTATGTGTTTTTTCATATTGTATGAAACAGTCATGAACATGGAGTTGTGAGAAGTGTGTAATGTGAACACAACATGTGTGAAAGGACTTTAATCCTGACTACATTAGTCTCTGTAGAAGCTCCCAGAGCTCAGGGAACAGGCTATTGTACTGACATGAATGGGAGAGGAGAGAAAGAGAGGGGGGGGGGAGAGAAAGGGAGAGGGAGAGGAGGAGAGAGGGAGAGGAGGAGAGAGAGGGAGAGAGAGAGAGAGGGAGAGGGAGAGAGAGAAGGGAAGGGGGGAGAGAAGGAGGGGGGGAGGGAGAGAGGGGGGGGAGGGGGGGAAGAGAGAGAGGAGGAGAGGGAGAGAGAGAGAGGGGGGGAGAGAGGAGGGGAGAGAGAAAAAGAGAGGGGGGAGAGGGGGGGAGAGAGAGGGAGAGATAATTTATTCAGAACTTGAAGAAATGATAGAGGGAGTAGACGAGGGGGGAGAGGGAGGCAGACAACAGACAGTGTAATTTATGCAGAGCGCTGAGCTCCAACAGGACACTGTTTCTGAGAAACACACTGTTGGACTTGTTGTTGTGAGGACCAGATAAACACGGTGTAGTCAGCATATTGTTGGATACACATGACAGAAACACATGAAGCAAGAGAAAGTTAAAACTACATTTGTGATCGTAGAATAGGACTTAACAAGAATGCAAAGAAATATACGGCTCCATTTACCCCTGACCTGTAGTGATATGTGACGCAGTAATATTGTGATCTGCACTACATACATGTGCCTTTAGTGATCCGATGATAGTTGGATAGCACATAAACATCGGTGTAATTGTATGGGAGCAAACAATGGCCCTAAAGGTTTGAGTCTCATAGAGCACTTCACCGTTGTCAATATAAACCTTCCCAACATGTCCCAGTTCATTTCCTGTTGCAGTGTATGTGAATGACATCAGCTGACAGGAAGTAAACATGGAAACGGTTGCCTAACAATGCAATTCTGTTGAAAACGGTCTATAAGCAACTGATCGATTGCTTATCTTGACGGAAAATCCCAGATTGCACGTCTTGAATTTTAGGATCTGAATTGGAAAAAGCTAATTTGAGCAGCCAGATGTTTTTGGACTTGAGTTGAGTTGTACTTGGAGTTGAGCAGACAGGAATACAGACTACATAAATCCGGATTGATGGTTTTTATAGTAAAATATTACAGTGCTGTAACTTCAGCAGTACTTACATTTCAACATCAATATTTTAGTAGTGTTTAAATTTCACAAGGAAGTATTCAGTAGCTTATAAGATTCAGACATGTTTAAGACATTAGAACTTTACTGATGGTCTACTGAATCAAAAGCATCCTCAGGACCCTGATGATGATGATGATGATGGTGGTGGTGGTTGAAGTGACCTCCAGTTTGCATACAGTATGTGGAGGGAGGCTGTGTAGCACTATACACAGGCTGGTTCTAGTTGCAGGAGAACTACTTGGAACTACTTGGGCGCTAGTCGCATGTCGATGTGTCCTTGAGCAAGACACTTAACCCCAAAATTGCTCCCGTAGGCACAGCGCCTACGGTGTAGAAATGTGATAGAATCTGAATTGTAAGTCGCTTTGGATAAAAGCGTCTGCTAAATGGCTGGAATGTAATGTAATGAAGAGGACAACAGGGAAAATGCAGACTGCATTCCTAACTTAGAAGCTAAAGTTACATGTCCTGATGTCTGTTGTACATCCCTTTAATTACGCCACCCAATCCACATGTCAGTCAATTTAGTAGTCACGGAGAATACAAAAGATACTTTTGTGTTGCATTATGGGAAGTGTCGTATTCAATGTTTTTAGAGCTTGATCCATATCAGGGACTATCTGTGATATCTGAGCCTCTGCTGCACCAGTCATTTCTTTAATTAACTTAATGGCTGAACTGTCCCTTTAATATATTATTAAGTTATTTTTAATCGTGATTCGTTGTGGGATTATGTAGACTTAAAAGATCAGGCTGGTGTTATTCTTTATTTTTATTATTTTTATCAAACTCAGCCACAATCCCATTGGTTAAAAATGGCTTTTTTTATTTTGGATAAAAAAAAAAAGTCTCAGTTATTTCCTGAAACAGCTGAACATTGCTGATTTTGTTTGGGACTACTTTCAGTCGCAGATTAATGTTCTGTACATGTTGTGCTCCAGTTACAGCAGCTCAAAATATGCTACAGTGTATAGATGAACTGATGCATATCAGAATGCAGGCAGAGATTTAACTACATTGACATACAATCACATGCTGTACCTGCTTCAAGCCATCTCCAGCGTCCCTACACCAAAAGAAATCTCAAAAGTGCAATTTCTCTTTGGGATGAATAAAGTTCTATCTATCTGTACATCTACTGTGTATGTCGGCAGCTCCACACACAACGTTGCCCGAAATAATTGCATTTGCAGTCTTCAAAATGCGCGGCAGCAGTATCATCATAACATATGTTGGTGACACCTCAAACATCACTTCATGTCAGACTGCGGTGTGGGAGCCTTGGTAGCAGAAGGGTTAACAGTACATGCAGTACAAACGCAACATCGCTGCTTCTATTCCAGCTCTGGGACCTTTGTTGCATGTCATACTGCTCTCTCTCTCTTTCCCATTTCTACACTGTCATCTGTCTAATAAGTACAAAAAATGAAGTGTGAGCTGACAGTAAAGTTACCTAAAGGACCAGTCTACACTTCTATTGTGAAGAATTTACAGGGAAATGTGTTTATAACCGAATTAGCAGCTGTTAATAAAAACAAGTCTACTAAAACTGTAGGGAGGAAGAATAAGCAGCAAAAATAAAGGTGGACTTTTATTGTGAAGAATTAACAGGAAATAAAATGTGTTCATTCCAGGCGGCAACCACCGGTTCTGAAAAGTGAAGCCAAAGCTTCATCTCTTAAACCTGCATTCTCTCTACTGACCACCAGGGGGCGACTCCTCTGGGTGTATAGAAGTCTATGAGAAAATGACTCTACTTCTCTCTTGATTTATTACCTCAGTAAACATTGTAAACATGAGTTTATGGTCTCAATCTCTAGTTTCAAGTCTTCTTCAATACAGCATGATGTTCATTTAGTAAATTATGGTCCATTTAGAGTCAAACAGACCATAAAGCAGGGTATGCTTTAGGGTGGGGCTGCACAGTGATTGACATCTCGCTAACGCTGCAAGAGCTGTATACTCTACAGACCTCTGCAGTCCAAATATGGTAACATCCGCTCACTGGTTGCAAAAATCTAAAAGCTCTAAAACTGCTACGACTACCTCCACTTTAAGAAGTGGAGGTTATATACAGTCGATGAATGTCGACCACAGTCGATCCAGTGCTCATCCGCAGCTCCTTTGATTACCAAATACATCCGATCACAAAAGTCACATTGAACAGACAAGTGTAACCACGGACTGTTCCTTCAAATTAAGAGCATGTGAACGCAAATGTGGCTGCTGGTTGAAGGATCAGCACTAAAGTGAGATGTGTTGAGCGGGCTGCTGACACATCAGATGCATTCCACCGTTCCAAGTGTACCGACACTCTCGGTCTCCTTCCCGTTGTGGCTTTTAAAAGCACTGAAGGAGGGAAACATTTAGGTTAGAAATGGATCCCTGGGAATCAACAATGCAAAGGGAGATAATGGGAGGCATTCTTTAGTGGATGGAGTGCAAGGTGTGAGCATTTCCCATATTTTCTGTTTCCTACACTTTATAGAAAGGGCCAAACTAACATAGTGAGCGCACACATCACATGCTCTGCTCCTAACTCATCACTCAGCTCACAAGTCACGCAACTCATAACTCAACGCTGCATATTGGGTTTGAGATAGAGTAGAAGAGAGAGAGATGAAAGAGAAATTGAGGATGAGCGGAGAAGAGCGAGAGGGCAAAAGAGGGCTGGAGGAGAAGGGACGGCGAGAGATGAAGAGCCAAAGAGAAGGAGAGGGAGAGACTGGTGTGGCTAGCCAAGCAGAAAAGGCTGTCAGTCTCCATAAAAGATCTCCTCTGTCAGATTAGTATGAGAGGGCTTCTCTCTCTCTCTCTCTCTCTCTCTCTCTCTCTCACTCTTCTTCTCCTGCGTGATTCTCTCACTCCATTTCCCTCATTTGTCTTCGCTCTCGGAATAATTTATTATCATATAAGGCTGCCGCTGGTTTTCTTTTTGCGCGTCAGATTAGCGCTGATATATATATTTTACACACTGTGTATTCTCTCAGTTAAAAGGAGGCTTGTACACATAAACAACTGTGTTGTTCTGCTGCTGAATGATTTTGGGAATATCATTAGTGATCATTAGTTGTTGACAGGAGCTCTGGGCTGAGGAAGAATGACATCATGACACAACACAGAGACTAGATTCAGTATTGTGGGGGGGGGGGGGGGGGGGGTGATGGGCATCTCTTCCATCTATTATATCTGACAGTGATGTTTCACCACACTTTGGTCTCTTTTAGTCCCGCATGTAGTCCCGCCGAAGGCGACATCGCCCGTCCTCCCACCTCTACCACGTTTCTCCTAAACCTGACTTTGTCCAATCAGTGAAGACGACATTTAAAAAGTTTACCTTTCCAGGTGCCTTTAATTGCATTGTCTCTCTCTCTCTCTCCTGTCTATCTTCAGTCCTACTCAGTGGGCGCTTTGGGCGATGAGGACTTCAACATCCCTCCCATCACTCCCCCCACCCTGCCAGATCACATGCTGCCCCCCCACCTCCCCCATGATTCCCGCTCTGGACCGTACCACCCTCTGGACAACCCCTCCAGCTCCGCTCCACACCACCCCTACCAGCTGCAGGGCATGGATCTGCCCGGTATGCCCGGCAACCAAGACGGGGCTGCTATGTTGAACCAAGATGGCCGCACCTTCAGTCCGGATGGCGGCCCAATGACCAGCACACTGTCCGTGGTGAGTGCTCACACATGATCGCACGTATTAATGATTATTTAGCTTTAGCAATGAATGAGGAAACAGCATGCAGTCACATTCTGAAGGTGGATTTATATACATGACATCTGCTAACCCACTACATAAGTGAGGGCAGCTGCAGCTCAAAGGCCCTGCTCACCCACACAGATCTTTATAACAGTACTTTCTGATTACACCTTGGTTTTAGGCTTAAAGAGAGTTTAGCGCCACAAAAAAACAACCCAGAACATTTGAATATGCAAATATTGTTCATTTTAAAGTTTGTCTGCTGACTCCTACCTTTCTGAAAGTCCATTGCTAAGGCCTTTACACACCGGGGGCGTTTTTTCATGCGATTAATTCGCAGTTTCACACAAATTGCGGATATTACGTAATGAAAATACAACATACTGGGTTTTTATGTTTCAGAACAAGGCAGATTTTTCTGAGCTTCAGCACCGCGAATAAAGGCATCAACGAATCACGTTGTTGAGAACAAGTTGAGTTGCGTCGCTATTTATGAAACAACAACACGGGGGCTGTGTTCAACCAAGATGGCAAACTTTATTCTGGTTTCAACATTGACAAAGCCAGCGCAGACCAGATCCTCCTTCTGTTCTTACATTTTTACAATAGAGACATAAAGTGTTGTTTATCAGTCATCAGTCAAGTTGTGAATGAAGGCTGTTAGTGTGCAGCATGTGCACTGGAGTAGGGCGAGGCAATATGGCTTATAAATAATGTCTCGATATTTTGAGATCATGCCGCGATATATCTGTTTTATGTAACACTTTGATGCCTATGATCATCTGAGGTGATGTACTGTGATATGATATCAGATTGTGACTTGACTTCTTGACTAATTATTCACACAAGTTTTATTTGATGTATTATCTAATATGTATATTGCCTTTATTTATTTATTCATACATATATAGATATATATATATATATATATATATTAATGCATGTATTTTTGTAAATGTATTTGTTAATATAATTGACTGATTGACTTATTCAATGAGTGTAGAGTTGCTTTTCAGGGTCACAGGAAGGTTGCTTTTATTTTGAAGTCAGTACTCTTACCGTAATGCCCAGTATACATGTACCGCAAAACAACATGAGGGCCAGAGCGAGAGAAGCATAACGCTAAAGTGAGTCTCAAGCCGGCGGCTTAAAGAACATAATTTGTACCCACGTTTTCGCAATATAGTCATTTATACATCCCACGTAGAACATGCCTCAATACATGGAGTATATTTCATATATCTCCCACTGGAGGTTTGAAGTTTCCACTTCACACTTACTCTGCACAGTGCATCATTCTGCTCAGTGAAGGTTGGCTTTAAATGAATGATAACAATGAAAGATAGACAGTTTGTTTTCAGACTCCAGCAGACTTTGTGCATCTGAGCACACATCTGAAATAGATATAAGTTTTACAAGTTCATTTATTTAAAACTTAATTTCATGAGACCATGATTCATTCAAGACTTTTTCCAGTCACCAAATGTTCTTAATCTTTACAGGAGCTGCCTCATGGTGATGTTCGCTAAGATAAATATTGCTTCATGTTTTGCTGAGCAGGAGCAGTAAAAGTGATTCAGTGGGAAAAGCAAGTTAATGTGCAAATCACCTTTCAAATTCAGAGGCAATTTACAAGATTTACAGCACTTAATGCAAAGAAATACATTCTGAAAAACATTTACAAATACAATGAAGAGTACAACACTTAAATAGCAACAAGATACTATTGCACATAAAACAGACCAGGAATACAGTTTCAGTGCAGTTAGAGGACAGAGATTGCTTCTCTCAAATTCAAGAAAGGAAATAAACGCAGGAGAGAAATGAATCAAGGGCACAGGAGACCAGAAGAGTGTGAAGTATATTTGGCTGCTGTCATTTCAGATGCAGTACTCCTTCATGGATTTACCATTGGTCCTTTATGGCTGTCATGTTTTATGTATTTCTCCTTGGAAACTTGACTAAGCGTCTTGTTTTTCTATTAACACCCTTTCTCACACTTAAAAACCAGGGTTGGTAATCTTCAAAAACATTTTTGATATTTCTGCTGAAATTCTCTTTAAGTCCCGACAGCAATCAATAAATGAAATGCTTTGACAGAAAAAAGAAAAACACTCAGTATCTGTATCTGTGGCTGTCGCATGACCGTAATAAGTTTGTCCAATCATTGCATTCGGAAGGAATGCAATGATTGGACAAGCTACCTACCTGTCTGTCTGCCTACCTGTCTGCCTACCTGTCTACCTACCTGTCTGTCTACCTGTCTGTCTGCCTGTCTGTCTACCTGTCTGCCTACCTGTCTGTCTACCTGTCTGCCTACCTGTCTGTCTACCTGTCT